ACCTGGATCAGGTGTGGGTCTGTTCCATTGATTTTTTTTCTTGATAATCCTTCATATGGCTGTCTCTTGGCATGCCTAGTTTGAATCCTGGACATTGTGTTAAAAAACAACAACTTGTAGACCTCCAGATAATATTGTTTTCTTTCAGAGAGGGTTTACATTTCCTTTGTGATTCAGGTAGGGTATGGGCTGCTCACCTTAATCCAATCAGTTACTGAGCTGAGTTGAGGTTTTGTTGCAGTTTTGATAAAGCTCTATCTCCTCCTCTTCCCTCCCTCTGGCCAGACCCCACAATTTCATTTTGTACTGGGTCCTGCAAACTGTGTAGCTGGCCTGTCATTGACACTCATATGATAGTCAAGCAACCTCAATAGGACAAGGGTGTCACGGCTATTACATCTTCTGCTATTATTGCTATTCTGCTATATTCTGTGACTTGCACTGGAATAAGCCCTTAGCAATGTCATCCTATTCAGTCCTCGCAACCATTATACAAGGTAGGGCTCGTCCATTGGGTGGTTCCCTAACTTCTTTGGGTTTGTTTTCTCATCTGTGAAACTGGTACAATAATGCCCCCTTCACAAGGATATTGTGGGAATTAAGCATCCTTCTTTCTTGAGTGTAGCTCTCCAGATCTCTCAACCAAGAGCCTGAAGCATTCATTTGAACCCCACTCCAGCAAGTACTAACTTTTAGTCCTTGTTTTCTCAGCATAAAACTACTCTTCATTTTAGAGCCCTTTTCCTTGATGCATTAGTTTCCTATTGCTGCTGTAACAAATTACAAACCTGGTGTCTTAAAACAGCACATATATATTATTTTATAGTTCTGGAGATCATAATTCAAAATGGGTTTTGCTGAGCTAAAATCAAAGGGTCAGCAGGGCTGTATCCCTCTGGAGGCTCTAGCAGAGAATCCATTCCCTTGCCTATTCCAGCTTATAGAGGCTGCCTGCATTCCTTAGCTCATCAACCTTTCCTCCCTCTGCAAAACCAGCAGCATACCATCCTCAAATCTCTCTCTGGCTCTGACCCACCTGCCTCCCTCTTTCTCTTATAAGGACCCTGTGATTACATTGAGCCCACCTGGGTAATCCATGCTACTCTCCCCATCCAAGATCCTTAGCTTAATTGTATACATGTAAAACCCTTTTAGCCATGTACTAGAACATATCCCTAGGTTCTGGGAGTTAGGTCATAGACATATTTGGTGAGAGGATATTATTGTCCCCACCATTCTTAGTTTTTTAGGTCCTACTTACACAGTTTCAGAATCCAGCACATGTGAAGGAGAACCTACCATGTGATGTTAAAGCTCGGTTCTGCTCTCTCCTTTTTTACAGGGGATCTTGGCCCTTCAGGTCTCCAATTTTATCTCTCTAGCCCTGTAATTTTATCTCTCTAGTCCAGCTGAGTAATTGGTCTGTGCCTGGACAAAACCCATATTCTCAGCCTCTAGCTGTGTGCCTAGAGTTAGCAAACGCCCCGGGGAGAACTCCAGTGCAGAATATCAGTTTACTGCTGCCTTAGCGGGTCACCTCTGTGGAATTTTGGCTCCCCTAGTCCTGTTTGCTACAGCAGCTCTGATTCATTTTATCCAGTTTTTCTAATTGATCTGGGAGGGAGTGCTGAGCTGCTACAAACTGTTACATTGTATTATTTCTAAATCCTTTTGACACAACTTTATGAATATATATATGTATATATATATCTTTTTTCTATACTTCAGGGTTTTGGTATGACCCAAATATTTCAGATTTATCTTTTTGTTATTGTTGTCAATCCTTACCCGAGGATATTTTCTCCATTGGTTTTTAGAGAGAGTGGAAGGGAAGGGGAGAGACAGAGAGAAACATTGCTGTAAGAGAGACACATCGATTGATTGGTTGCCTTCCACACACACCATTATTGGGAAATGGTGTAGAGTCCACAATTGAAGGCAATGATTGTGTTTTATGCATCTCTGTATCATTTGCACCTCGCACTTTGTTCGTACATGATACTCAACAAATATTTGTTAATTTTAAAAAATTGATTTTCAGAGAGAGAGGAAGGGAGAGAAACATCCATGTGAGAGATGTGAGAGCCACACATTGACTGGCCGCTTCCTGCATGCCTCCTATCGGGGATCGAGCACACAACCTGGGCATGTGCCCTGACTGGGAATTGAACTGGCAACTTTTCCATGCACGGGACAATGCCCAACCAACAGCCACACCAGCCAGGGCTAAATTTTTATATTTATGTCTTCACTTGTTTCTGCTTCATGAAGTCTTCTTTGGTTTTTCTCCTCTCTAAATTTCTGTAGCACTACTACAGATTTAATTCAAATACCGTGCAACTTGGACTTGGAGGCTTGAACTAGATAGACTTTACAGTCCCTTTTAAACATAATAACCTATAAGTTAGCACAATTATTCATTATCTTATTCTTTGATGTGTGTTAATTTTTTCACCTAATTAAATTGAGAATTGAGGCTAGAGCTAGATTTTTCTCTTTCAAAACATATGGTAGTTGCTATATAAATACTTGTTGATTGGCCAATTAGGTAGATTGACTTTACAGTGGGGCCTTGACTTACGAGTGTCCCGACTAACGAGTTTTTTGAGATACCAGCTGTCTCTCGCCAATTTTTTGCATTGAGTTGATAGAGTAATTTGAGTTAACGAGCTCGGTCTCGGAACGAATTAAACTCGTAAGTCAAGGCCCCACTGTATTTCATATTGTTACTTTTGGAGCTTGGAATCAGAACTTTTTAAAGAATGTGAAAAATATTAGGTTAGGGGGAGCTCTTCTGTGTAAAACTTAAAAAAAAACTTTCAAAAACAAACCAATATAATACAGTATATTTTTCACTACAGACTTGAAGCTAAATTGCCTTGGTTCAAAGTGAAGCTTTGTCACTTACTATTTGAATGATCTTGGACAAGATTATTTAATTTCTCTGATCCTCAGTCTTCATGTTTATTAAATAGGTATCTATATATATAAAAGCCTAAGTGACCGGAATGACCAGTTGCTATGAAGCACACTGACCACCAGGGGGCAGATGTTCAATGCAGGATCTGCCCACTGGTGGTCAGTGTACTCCCACAGCCAACCTCCCCCAGCTGGCCAACCTCCCGCAGTCCCTCCCTCCTGGCTGGCCAACCTCCCATGGTCCCTCCCCTTGGCCCCAGGGCTGGGACGGGGAACCTGGGGTGGGCGGTGGTGGATGCGGCCCTTTTCCCAGGGGGGGCCAAGGGCCGGCTCCCTCCTTGGGGCCGGTGACCAACCTCCCGTGCCCTGTCCCTCCCCGCAGCCGGCAGGCCCCAATCAGCCCGTGGTGGCGGTGCGGCAGTGGCAAGGGAAGGAGGAGGGGGGAGGCAGGGAACTGCATGGTGGCAGAGTGCCAATGATGGCGATGTTCGCGTCCGTTTCTTCCACACCCAGCCCAGCGACCGTTGCCTCCTCTCCAGCCCAGCCCTGATCAGCCCTGATCACCAGCCAGGCCTAGGAACCCCACCCGTGCACGAATTTTGTGCGCTGGGTCTCTAGTAATAATAATAATACCTAACTCATAAGATTGAGTTAATACATGTAAAGCACTTAGACCAGAGGCTGGCACAAAGTAAGCAGTAAATTGATGTTATTGGTGAATCATTCATATACATTTAATAAAAATGTAAAATACTTATAATTTTTAAACTTAATTTTATACTGTGAACATCTTTTCATGTTCTTGACGTTACTTTATAAAAAAATATCATTTTTTAAAATATATTTTATTGATTTTTCACAGAGAGGAAGGGAGAGGGATAGAGAGTTGGAAACATCGATGAGAGAGAAACATCGATCAGCTGCCTCCTGCACACCCCCCACTGGGGATGTGCCCACAACCAAGGTACATGTCCCTAGCCGGAATCGAACCTGGGACCTTTCAGTCCGCAGGCAGACGCTCCATCCACTGAGCCAAACTGGTTAGGGCAAATATCTTTTTTTAAATCCTCACCTGAGGATATTTTTTTTCCATTTGCTTTTCAGAAAGAATGAAATACCGGCCAGGGCATCAAAACATATATTTAATGGCTGCATGCAATTTTGTCGCCAAGAAATACCCTAATTTCATTTACCAATCTAATACTACTGGGAACTTAAATTGTTTGCATTTTTTATTGGTTTTTATTTTGACTGACATTTTTTTCCATACCCCAAAGTTGGAGAGAATGGCCAAATTGAGAATTTAAAAGTAGCACAGGTAATACTGGATGTAGAATTAGTTAGAAGATTGAATTCTAGTTCATAGTTTGCCCCTTTCTTTTCTAGGTTGGAGTAAACACTCTGTTAGATCCTTTCCAGACTTACCTTCTCATGTTATTGTAAAGGAATTAAGTCTATTTTAGTCATAATTCTTAGGTGTTATTATTTTTAAAAATATATATGTTATTGATTTTTTACAGAGAGGAAGGGAGAGGGATAGAGAGTTAGAAACATCAATGAGAGAGAAACATCAATCAGCTGCCTCCTGCACAACCCCTACCGGGGATGTGCCCGCAACCAAGGTACATGCGCTTGACCGGAATCGAACCTGGGACCCTTCAGTCCGCAGGCCGACGCTCTATCCACTGAGCAAAACTGGTTAGGGCAGGTGTTATTTTCTTTAAAAGTCACATACACACAAATATCTTAGCTGAAGTAATCTATGTAACAGAGCTTCCCACACAGTTTAAAAAACTTCAAGGTAGTGACCCCTTTAGTTATCAGGCAGCTAGTCAGAGTCTGAAGCTGCTAGACCCCTGGGCTGGTCACCTCCAACTGCAAGCAACCTTATCTATGAGCCCAGGCCCTTTAGTTTACTGTATACTCTGCTGTACAAATATGCTTTCCTGTGTGCCAGCCTAAAAAAAGGTTTGGAAGTACTGATCTAAAAGAACGTATCAAGGAAAACTTTTGCTGCTGGCAGATATATGTTTCAGGTCCTTGTTATATTGTTGGTAATTCTCCAATCTTTGACTTTTTAGCATGGCTGCCCGCTGTTTCTGGGATGCTGACACTGACAACTACATTCATGATGTTTTTATGAATGTAAGTCTATTTGGGAACTTTTTCTTTCTTTCAAAGGACATGGGGGCATTCCAGAGGAAATTACTTAATATTTATTGAGATGTGAGCACACTTTCGTTTTAGACATTTGTCTCAGACTCCTGGATGAGATGTCTTACTGTTCTTTTTTTGTGTTACTAAACATAAAGCAGAAACCTAGTGTGCTGTTTATAGGCAAGGAGACCTATATGTGTACAGATAACATAACTCTTCACAAGTTTGAATTTGGGAATAGCATATTGTTCAGTGCTAATAGCCAAATAGCACTTTGCTAAGCTGCAAAGAAGTTTGGATGTCAGGGATTCCATGAGGAAAGGTGATTTTTCTTTCACTAATCAAAACAATTACTTTATCTTAAAGCTATTTCTCAAAACTAGGCAAAAATAAAGAGGAATTTTTCAAAAGAGTTTTCATTTAAACATTGGCAAGTTATTGGCATGAATGTTTTATAAATTTTAATTATATGTTTTATACTTGCTTCCTCTGTCCAAATGCTCCCAGGTTGTGAATTAGTAGAGTCAGAATTAAGAATAGTAGTGTAGAACGGAAACTGGGTTGAGTGAATTAGGAGAGAGGTTCCATTTCTAGCTCTGTAACTTTCTAATTGAATGACTTTAGGTAAGTCATTGGACTTTTATCTGATTGTGTCAGTAACATTAGGAAACTATTCTAGATTTTCCCAAAGACTGGCTGTGGCTTGCCTAAGAATTATTTGAGGAACTTGTTTAACATACAGATGCTGGGGTCCTGCTCAAGTAGATTCTAATCACATAAGCTTGGGGTTGGATCAGTGAATCTGAATTTTTAAAAAGTTCCCCACATTGCCCTGGCCAGGTAGCTCAGCTGATTCGATCTCCAGTCGAGGTGCATTTAGGAGGCAATGGATCAATGTTTCTGTTACATTGATTGATGTGTCTCTCTCTCTCCCTTCCTCTCTTTCTCTCTCAAATCCATAAGCATGGCCTCAGATGAGGATTAAAAAAATCTCTAAAATCAATAAACATGTCCTTTGGTAAGGATTTTTTTAAAGTTCCTCACATGGTTGTGCTTACTGCCAGATTTGGAAGCTGCTTGTGTAGTAGATCTTAAGGTACCTTTTAGCTCTAAAACTCTATGGTCCTACCAAAGTTTCATATTATGCTCAACTACCGTAGGGATCAAGGGCTGAACAATGGGAAGTATTATGTAAATCTTCAATTATCAGTTCTCTGGGGGAAGATTTCAAGTTAAGGTGATGGTTTTTCCTGCTTTTTGGAGTTAAACATTTATATTTCCCTGAGTCGCTATACAATGTAATTCTCATCCAAAAGATAACTCTGAGCTTCTATATTATGTGCCAATCTCTGTACTGGAGGTGCTAGGAATAAAAGGCATGGTTATTGCCTATCGAGAGCTATAAACAGTGGTGGCCAGACAATATTCAAATTAATAAATATGTAGTATAAAACTTTAGTTATCAATATTCCCAGGATCAGATTTTAGAGCACAGGGTTGGAGGGTGCGGTGTCTAACAGTCATTTTTGAGAGCCGGTTTGGGTTGCTGAGTTTGTGTACTGTATGTATCTTTAGTCCAGTTGGTTGAGTGTTTAGGTGTCACTTTCAGAACTTAAAGTACTTTATTGTTTGGGAAGCACCAGTAGAGGATGAGGAAGTGAGAGGCGAGAAAAGCATATGCTTTTGAGCTGACAATTGCCCCGCAGAGTGGATAGCCCGGCTCAGTCCTGCTGGAGAACGCTGGGTGACACTGTGGAACAGCACCAGGCAAACTGGGAGCCACAGACCAGGGCCATGAGCCCCGTTACAAGATCAGTATAAAAATTGAGTGTAAGGGTTTAGAAACTCTTATAAGAATTTGACAAAGTAATTTTATGTCCATTAAATCTAATAATAAAACTTTTAGGCTGTATTTGTATATTTCTTTTTTCATTTTGTTTTCCTCGTTATTCATTTTTATTGTATTTTACAAAAGTATCAGTGCATGAGGGATTGAAAATTAGAACAAAAACAAAAACAGGTCCCTCACCTCAGCACTCAGCTCACAGTCATCCCACCCCGGGAGCCAGGGAGCTGGGCTAACCAAAGGGTTTTGCTTTTGGTTAACAATCAGGTACTTGAGCAGATTTTTTCTCATCACTGCCAAGCTGGAGGTGAGGTTGGTAGGTCAGGAGTTGCTGAGACAGGTGGAGTTCCTATAAGAAATACCTAAAAAGTGTCTTAAAAAGTTTAACTGCGATCTGGAAAGCATTTTAGGATTCTGAGCAAAAAGATGGACAAATGGATTTTCTAAATTAAGAACAAACACCCAGAGGCCATTTACACTTATCCGGGATTTATGACACGGAGCTGTTATTTTTATTATGTGTGATACTATAATATAGTTCTTTGAGATGGGTAATACATTTACTCCAAGAAATTAAAATAATTTCATATATTATTTCTTTGATAAATCAGAAAAAATTGGGAATACTGATTTTATGAATATGTATTACATAAAGTTCGTTCATTTTTATTTTATTTATACATTCAGAAAACCTAACTCTTTACTCATCCTAACATTCTGGGTTTGTGTGTGTGTGTTTTCTGTTTTGTTTTGTAGGACAGTTTGTTCTGTGTTGTAGCAGCATTTGGTTGTTTCTACTATTGAACATTTGAAAGCTGGGAAAAGGTATGACTATGAAGAAATATGAACTTTTTATATTGTTAAATATCTTGACAAAATAAAGATAACTTGGCAGTTTGGCAACTGAGTCTGTTGAGTTTTAGGACTTACAGTTAATGTTTTGATTTTGTTATGTGTTCTAACTACATTTGTAAAGTAGAGAAAATGTAGGGGAAAAATCCATAATTAAATTGTTCTACATAACTATTAATATTTGCTGTATTTTCTTTTTTTTAAATTAAATCTTTATTGTTCAGATTATTACAGTTGTTCCTCTTTTTCCCCCCCATAGCTCCCCTCCACCCGGTTCCCACCCCCCCCACAGTCCTCATCCATAGGTGCACGATTTTTGTCCAGTCTCTTCCCGCATCCCCCACACCCCTTTCCCCCGCAAGAATAGTCAGTCCATTCCCTTTCTATGTCCCTGATTCTATTATAATCACCAGTTCATTCTGTTCATCAGATTATTTATTCACTTGATTTTTAGATTCACTTGATAGATGTGTATTTGTTGTTCATAATATTTGGTATATTTTCTACCAGTGTTTTTTTATTTGGTGTTTTTTTAAAAAATCATAGTTTTGTAACCAGATTTTTCACTTCTCATAATATCACATGTAGTTTTTGTCATTTTATTTGCATTATGATTTTCATAAGCATAATTTAATAGTTGCATTTATTCCATTAGGTTATACCATTGGTTATTTTTGCCATGTCCTTACAAAGGACTGATTATTGCTACTTTTTTTACTATTATAAATAACACTGAGGTGAATTTATGCATAAGGTTTTTTCCCTACATTTTGAATTTTTTTTTAATCTCTCACTCATTGTTTTTGTTCAGCTCTTTACACCCTACACCTTACACAGCTTATTAGCTTAAACATGCATTTGTTTTCGCCAGGGTTTTTCCAGTGTCATAGACTTTCTGACAGGGTCTGAGAGTTTCCAAGCTGTGTATGAAATTAGCCCTCCCTTAAGACTCTCCAAAATTATGTTGGTTACTATTCCAACTTCCATTATCTTTGTAGTGATCTTCTCTGTAGAGTCCCGAGTGTCTTCTCCAGCTAGCTGTCCTTATTTGGACCACTGTAGTCTATGAGCTGACAAGGAGGAAATTCGGAGGTATTCTAAATTAAATTATAGCAGCCAGAGAGTGCGAGACAGAACAGTTAGCCTGTTAATAGCTGTGGACCAGCCAGTAAAAGACTGCTCATATTCAAATGTCTGTTGGAACTTCAGAGTAATTTCCAGGTGATTACTTCTGCAATTATTCCAAATAATGAACCTTCCAACTCCAGGAGCCTCCACTTCTGTTTGTGCATGAACTTTCTGGACTGTTGCCCACCAGTCCAAAGGAGCGGACGCTTCTTCCTTGCGGGCTCTGCGCCTATCCCAGGGCTGGCGCTACCTCACCTTCTCCCACCCCCTCTGCCTATAGCTAATGCAAAGGCTTTCAGACAGCTTACATCTTTCTCCCACGCCTCCACCCCCCAGTTGGTGAATAAAAAACTGCAGCCTTGCCCATGTGGCTCAGTGGTTGAGCGTCGACCCATGAACCAGGAGGTCATAGATCGATTCCCAGTCAGGGCACATGCCCGGGGTTTCGGGCTTGATCCCCAGTAGGGGGCATTCAGGAAGCAGCTGATCAATGTTTCCCTCGCATCATTGATGTCTCTCTCTCTCTCTCTCTCTCTCTCTCTCTCTCTCTCTCTCTCTCTCCCTCTCTCTGAAATAAAACGATTAAAAAACAAAAATGATTGCAGCTCCAGGATGACAGAAATGTATGCTGCTGGTGGTTTGGATTTCTTGCACCAAGACTGGTCTTTTTGGCTAAATAAAGCCTTTTTCAAGAAACAACAACAAACAAACCAACTTTCATCTGTGAGAGTTAAGTCTTTGTTTAACAGAGCCTTGTTCAAATAACTGAAACTCAAAAGAGAAAGGATAGCAATTTATTTTTATTTTTTAAATATATTTCATTGATTTTTTTACAGAGAGGAAGGGAGAGGAATAGAGAGTTAGAAACATCAATGAGAAACATCGATGAGAGAGAAACATTGATCAGCTGCCTCCTGCACACCCCCTATTGGGGATGTGCCTGCAACCAAGGCACATGCCCTTGATCGGAATCGAACCTTGAGTCCACAGGCCGACGCTCTATCCACCGAGCCAAACCGGTTAGGGCAAGGGTAGAAATTTAAACCCTTTTTCTCCCTGGAGGCTTCTCAGCAGATGCACAAGTTTACCCACCTCTTTCTTCTTAGCCACTTTCAAGCATGTAGACGAAAATAAAAACGAATAAACTGTAATAAAAGTTGTTTTATATATTCCCCCCCCTAACATTGGGTATCTACTTGCCTTACATCTATAGAATCTAAAGGGACCCACTCCAAGGTTCATTCTGGCAAAGAACACCCTGCAGTGTGGTTTTCTACCAGGGGTCCCCCTCCAATCTGCTTATTGACCAAACCAGTCAATCCAAACCAATAGAGAATTTTTATGAGTTTATTTGAGCTAAACCTACAGCATATGTTGGGAAGCAAGATCTCAACTGCTACTCACAGTTACAGTTTGCAGCTTTTCTACATTTGAGATTAGGGAGGGAACAGAAGGAAGAGCACGTGAAGGTGGGAGAAAGCCAGCTGGGGGTCGAATGACAGGATAAACCCTTGGGGGTGGTCACGTCTGCAGGGGTCGGCCGTGTGCTAACCTTAGATGCACAGAGACGAGGGACAGGGCTCCCTAAGCAAAAATAAGCCTTTGACTAAAAGTGTTCCGTGCCTGGGGATGGCTGCCCCCCATGACCTGCTCAGGAATGTATGAACAGATCAATCGCGCTGTGAGGTTCTTGTGCATAAAACCCCCTTTCCGTCCACACGCTCCCCAACTAGCCCTCGGCTGATCCCTGCGGGTCTTTTTTGGGGCGCCAACCTGGGTCGGAAGTAACAGGACTGGGTGTCTCCGTGATGCGAGGTTCTTGCTGTCGGGAGGGTTCGGAGCCAGCCGCAGGCGTTTTACAGGACCTGGCGGGCGGACCTCCGTCCCCGGAGCACCCGGAGGAAACCGCAGGCGGCGGGGAAGCCGGCGGGCCGGCGGGGCTGCGGCGAAAGGCGTCAGGGCCCTCCGCCCGGTGAGCGCCCGGGGCGAGTGTGCGGCGCCCGGCGCTGGGACAGAGGGGAGCTCAGGACGGTCCGCCGCGGGGAGCTCGGGCTGCGGGGCGGGCGCTGCTCCTGACGGACGGCCCCCATCGTGTCTCCGGACAGGAGGCCGCCGCCTCCCGCAGCTGCGCGCCGGCCCTGACCCTCGGCCCCCTCCCCGTCGGCCTGGCACTTCCCGTCGGGCACTCCGTCCGGGGGCCTCCTTGGAGGCAGAAACTACTGCGTCGGGGTCGGGTTTTTCAGGGAAACACCCGTGCTCGGATTGACAGAGGGCGGGCAGGGGGCGGGATTTCCGGCCGGCT